TGGGCAACATAAAATGTTGCATTATATATCCAAACCTTTCTATGTTTTTACTCTCATATTACTACAGCATTACACATATGAGATTATCACCAACACAAAACTTCAGCAAAAAATAAGCATGTAAGGGGTAGAGAAGAATGAGATTGCACACTTTCAACAGGCAATTAGAGATAACACCTAGTTTCCAGTTTACGGAAATTGGGAAAAAAATGAATGTCAACACAAAAGAAGAAAAAATCAGTCAATTATACAACATGAACTTTCAATAGCTGAGCCAAGTATCTTCAAAAGATAATGTCCACAAAAAGATTTTTACAAGAATGAATGTTCATAGAATTATCCAATAACCATAACCTGGAAACAACCCAAATAACCATCAACACAAGACAATAAACAGCATCAGAGTAAAAAGCTTCCACACAGCAAAGGAAACAATTAACAGTAAAGAGATCACACAGAATGGGAAAAAAAATCTGATAAGGGGTTAATATCCAAAATATGTAAGGACCCAAACAACTCAATAGCAAGAAAACAAAAAAAAAAAAATGTAATTTTAAAAATGGGCAAAGAATCTGACTAGATATCTCAAATGGCCAACAGGTATATGAAAAGGTGCTTCCCTAGCCAGGCGCGGTGGCTCACGCCTGTAATCCCAGCACTTTGGGAGGCCAAGGCGGGTGGATCACAAGGTCAAGAGATCAAGACCATCCTGGTCAACATGGTGAAACCCTGTCTCTACTAAAAATACAAAAAATTAGCTGGGCATGGTGGCACGTGCCTGTAATCCCAGCTACTTAGGAGGCTGAGGCAGGAGAATTGCCTGAACCCAGGCAGCGGAGGTTGCGGTGAGCCGAGATTGCACCATTGCACTCCAGCCTGGGTAACAAGAGTGAAACTCTGTCTCAAACAAAAAAAAAAAAAAAAAAAAAAAGAAATGGTGCTTCCCATCTCTAATCATCAGGGAAATGCAAATCAAAACTATAATATCACCTCACACATGTTAGAATCGTTCCTATTAAGTGTTGGAAAGAATGTGGAGAAAGGAGAATCCTTGTATACTGTTCCTAAGAATGTAAATTAGACGAGCCATTACAAAAAGCAATATGGAGGTTCCTCAAATACTGAAAAATAGAACTACCATATAATCCAGCCATCTCACTTCTGGGTATATATCCAAAGGAAATGAAAGTAGTATATGAAAGAGATCTGTACTCTCATATTCATTGCAGCATTATTCACTATATGCATGATATGGAAGCAAACCAAGTGTCAATGAAATCAATGAGTGGATAAAGAAAATGTGGTATGTATATGTGTGAGGGTGTGTGTGTGTACACTATTCCAATTTCTATTACTATGGATTAGTTTGTCAGTACCTAAACTTCACATTGGAGCCACGTGGTGTGATAGTAAGTTTCTAACTTCTTTTGGGCAGCATGTTTTTCAGATTGATCCATCTTGTTGGTTTCATCAGTAGTTCCTTTAAATTGCAGAGTAGTATTCTATTGTATGTGTATACCACAACATATTTATCCATTCTTTTAATTGTCAAAACTTATATCTATTTACACTGTACAAAGTGATGTTTTGCTACATGTATACATCGTGAAATGATTAAATCAAGCTCATTAACATTTCCATCACCTCGTATACTTGTCTCTAGAAAACCTGAAAGGGGAACAAGGGAATTCTGAGGGGTGATGGAAGTGTTCTAATTCTTGATCTGGGTGATGGTGACATGAGTGTATGAATTGAGCAAAACCAACTGAGAAAAAAAAAAGGGAATATTTTGGGAATTAAAAAAATAGAACTGCTCTATATTAAAATGAACTACAAAGACATAACAATCAAATGATTAAAGGCAACATGTAAATCTTGACTGGATGCTGGTTTGAAAAAGTTAACTATGGAATCCATGTTTGGGACAACCAGAAAAACTTGAATATGAACTAAATGTTAAGAATTTATCACCAATTATCTTAGGTGTAATAATGCTGTTGGGGTCATACAGAAGGATATCCTTATTTTAAATTATTTATTTATTTATTTACTTATTTCAGAGACAGGGTCTCACTGTGTTACCCAGGCTGGAGTCCAGAGCTACTCACAGGTGTGCTCACAGGACACTGCAGCCTCAAACTCCTGGGCTCAAGCAATCCTCCTGCCTCAGTCCCCTGAGTAGCTGGAACTACAGGTGCTTGTCATCATGCCCAGCTAGTTTCCTTATTTTCAGAAGACACATGCTGAACTACTTAGAGGCAGAATATCATGTCAATTTACTTTCAAATTTTTAGCAAAAAAAATATACATATATATAATATATAAACATACATATAGATAAATTAATGTACATAGTCATTGATTACAATTATTCATTGAACTGTTCTTCTGAGTACTCTGTATGCTTGAGAAATTTCATTTAAAAAGTCGAGGAGAAAAGATGATGCCAGTTTTAATAGATATAGAATGATCTCCAGGATAAACTAAGCTAAGAAAAGCAAGGTGCAGAATAGTTTATATGCTATCTATTTCATTAAAAAAGAAGGAAAGTAAAATATATATACATATAAATGGCGTGTATGTATATATGTATACATAATGTGAGAGAGAGTTTGTGTATCTGTTTGTAACAAAACCAGTGAACAAGTTTACTGAAAGCAGGTAAGTATAGATGGGAATTAGTTGTGAGCCTGGAAGCAATACTTCTCTGAGTATATCATATTATATAGTCTTGAACTTGAACCATATAAGTGTAAAAAGAAAACAGAAATGAAAAAAACTAAAGTCCATTATGAAGATGTAAAAAATATCTAGGGTCACATAACTCCTCTATTATATCAAAGCCAAATTAATTAATCAATCAATCAATCAAACATGTTTAACTTGCATGTTTGCTATTGAGGTTTTTTTTTTTTTTCCAAGGGGGCATTATTTGCTCCTTCTGAGCATCAGAGCCATTTTTAAATGTTTTTGTTGTTCGGAAATTCAAGAACATGTTGCCGATCTGCTTTTAAATAGTTGTGCAATCCTAGACAAATAACAGCCATGCTAAGCATTGACTTTCTTGACTGTAAATTGAATCCAGTGATTTCCATCTAAGATTTCTCAGAACTATAAAATTCTGTGTCTTAAATGTTTGTTGGGGAAAAAAAAAATATTATTTCCACTTGGATAGTTTTCTTTAGCTTTGGTAAGTAACAAAGCTCCATTATACAGGGAATTATACAGTAATTCACCTTCTGCCATACAACTAATAGGAGAAATGTAGCTATTCCTCCGACTCCTTCAAGCAGTAATCAGTCACAACAGAGTACTTCCTATTAGAAAGTTTGTATTGGCAACCTTAGGAAGGCTGCAGTCAGGCAGTCAACCAGTCAGGCAACTGCACTTACCAGGCTGCTAAACACCATTGGTTAGCAAAAGGAAGAAGCCAGTAACAAAATCTATTGAGGCTGAATTCTGGAGGAGTTTTACTAACTGTCCTGGGCCAAGGGGTTGAGAAAGCTTCGTATATTCTGCTAAACTAATTTTACTTTAGGAAAAGTTGTCAACAATGTCAGCTTTGGGAGGAAAACAAGTAAAACTGGGGCTATAAAGTTTCCGAGAAAAATTTCTGCAGGCTTGAAGGTATAGGGAGAGGTCCAAGAAACTTTTCTACTATACAACCGCTGCCTCACACTCTGCCCCACCCAGACGTCCCTTCTTTAAGACTAACAAAAGACCTAAAACAGTCCTGTGACTTCCCTAGGGGTTTAGTTCTGTGCTGCAGCAACCTCATTCTAATGTGAGGAAGGCCAACCAGGAAAGGCAGGATGTGCAAGCACGAGTTAAATGGAGCATGGCCAGCAGGGTGTACAGAAAGGAAATGCAGAGGGCTCCTGGCTGCAGCACCCGGGACAGTAATGGTAAATATTTAAGCACCCTCAATCCCCAAGTTTTGCTAGGAAATCAAAGAGAAGACAGAGAGTAAGGAGCGAAAAGAGGCAGAATGGTGAATTTTGGTTCCAAACTCCGTACAGGTCTGTGCCTGCAGGACTAAAATGGGGTGTGGAAAGGGTCTTGTGGGGGTTTCCTCCAGAACAGACAAGCTCTGAACAGGGGAATTAGAGGGTTCTCTAAAGAATGCAGGGGAAGACGTTCAAAACCTTTGGAAGAGTCTTCTGAGAACAAGTGGAATAGTTTTCTCCTAGCATGGAGAGGTCCAGCCCCCTCAATGGATGAGTGGAGTTCTCTGCCCCAGCTGGACTTCCACATGAGGATGGGGGAAATCATCCTCTAGAGCAAGTCTGGAGAAGGAAGGGGTGGGGTTGCAAGTTGAAGAATAAGGAGTTTCCCTCACAACGTGGAACGGGCCTTTCTTGCAATGACTGGCACAAAGCCGGAAGGGTCTGTGGACGGGAGGGGCCTGAAGTGATCTCTGAGGAGTTGGGTTTTTCCTGTAAGGCCCTGGAAGGGAAGGCAAGGTACTTTGCGTAACAACACATTTCAGTTTTGGGGTGTGAAGATTCTCCCTTGAACACAGAATTAAGAAAGGCCCCTTCATTAATGCGAAGTTTGAAATTGGTCTGAAGTGGGGTGCCTGCAGGGATTCGTGAGGAAATGCGACCCCCACCCCCAGATTTGGGAAAGGCGGGGGCAGTGATTCTCTAAGAGAATTGGAGCCCAGCAGAGGAATGAAAAGAACCCCCGCGCCGCGGACAGACACTCTCTCACTGGAAAGTTAGGGGCGAGGAAAGTAACTCTGAGGTGGTTTGGCAAAAATCTGAAAGCGCGCAAGCTGCAAGTCGGGCTGAAGCCAGCGTAGCGGGGCAGGGGTCAGGCCTCTGCGTGGCGCTCCTGAGTGCGAGGTGGGGCAGGACCAAGTGGGATGTGGGGTCTGCGCTCCCTAGGGATGATTCGGAGGGTGAAGGAGGTTTTGCGGTGACTCTGGGCTCTGGGAGGCGACCTGAGGGAGTCCCTGAGCCAATGCCCGAGGAATGGGAGGCGCTACCGATACTCACTAAGCGGATCTCCAGCACCAAGGCGCACTGCAGCGCCTTCACCTTCGGCATCCCTGCGGGGAGGGACGGCGGGGAGCGACCCCGGCCACGGGCCCGAGTGAGGCAGGGACACCTAGGGCTGGGCGGGGACAGGGAGGAGACGAGTTGGCGGCGGTGGTGGCAGCTGTGGCCCCCAGGCCGGGGCCAGCGGTCCAGCCTGGGTCCCGCCGGAGTAGCAGCTGAGCTCAGGGCGCCGATTCGTTGTCATGGCAGCCGGGGTGAGGGGGCCGGAAGAAAGGCCGCACGGGGCGTTCCAGGGCCATCCGCGCGGGGAAAGCGCGCTGGGGGCGGGGCCTGACGCAAGCCGAGAGAGGCGAAGCTGGGCAGGAGGCGGGGCTTCCGAAGGGGCGGGGGGAGGCCAAGCAGTTCTTCTGTGACGTCAAACCGCTCCCAAAGCCGGAGGAGAGGGAAGGGCTGTTTGTTTAATGGGACAGTGCTCAGATCTGGGAGTTGGAGTTCCTGTAGGGCCCTGGGAGGGAAGCCCTGAGTTCCAACGTGGCGATGCCACCTTGGGCTAGTGGCGACCCTCTGTGGCCTCAGATTTCCTAACTGTAAAAGAATAATAATTATTATTATTCCCCATATTTGAATTTCATGGCACAGTTTGTTTACAAAGCCAGCATGAGGAGACTGGGAATTAGAAAAGAGACTTGCCCAATTCGGAACCAGGACTGGAACCTAGGAGCTCTCAAGTTAAACCCCAATTCCCTCTCTGAGGAGAGAGGCTTAAATCAGATCGTCGATACTCCTTCCAGTCTCCTGGGATTCTCTTTGTTAGTGCGTCCTCTTTTCCCTTCAGGGTTTCCTGTCTAATTCACCAGTGTATCCATCTTAATGCACATTGCTTAAATGGAACTGTCAATGAGGGGCCAACAGTAAGTCCAGCTGTGACGAGCCTGGCAATAGACCATCAAAGATAAAAAGAACCTAAGAGATTGCCCGATCCAATCACGTTAAAAATCATTTGCATTGCACAATACATTATACATGCAGAAGTGTATAAAACACACTGATCTTAATAATAATGTGAACAATACCTGTACAACTAGCACCCAGTTAAGAAATAGAACATTACCAGCACCTGAAAAATGCCACAATCATTACATTGCCTTCCTTGCACTGAAAGTGATCACTAGCCTGACTTTTGTTACAGTAATTCTCTTCCTTTTGCCATTCATGTATACATTTCTAAACAAGATATTCTTGAATGCCTTCTGGTATCGATGGTATATAAATGGAATTAATACTGTATGTATTCTACTGGGATTCACTTCTCCCACTTAATATTACACTGTGGAATTTAGCCACTGGAGATGCTGTGTAGCTGAAATTTTTTCCATTGCTGGAAGACAAACACAAAAAAAGATATTTGCAGTATATAGAGTAACCTAATATAGATTGATTTATCCTTTCTACTATTGATGATAACTTATACTATTTTCATTTTTAGCTATTATTAACAATGTTGTGAACAATTGCAGTACAAGTCTGTGTCTGTGTCTATTAATGTACATGGAGTAGTATAGAAGTGGGTTGACTAAGTATTATGTTTTGCACATGTGGGACTTTAAAAAGTAAGACCACACCATTTTCCAAAGTAGTATACCTATTTATGTTTCTGCTGGCGATGTATAAGAGTTCTTATTTTCCCACATCCTAGGCAACATTTGTGTTTGGAATTTTAACTTTGGTGTATTTGGATGTGTGTATTTTAGGTATTTCATTGTGGTTTTATTTTGCCTCTCTGGGTTCTGTTGAGGTTGAGCACCTTTGGTTTTGTTAGCCTTTCCATTTTCTCTTATTGAACTTCCAAGTAGTTAACTTGTCCCCTTTTCTATTGGTCTATCAGTTCTTTATATACTCTGGATAATAATTATATGTCTACTCTATATACTGCAAATATCTTTTCCATTTTGTGTTTGTCTTTTAATTTCACATATAGTCTGGGATGAATAGAAGATAAATTGTTGTCGTGGAGTATGAATATTCTCAGTCTGACCAAATAACGTCAGGTTGCTATCCAGAATGCCATACCAGTCTACGTTCCCAATGTTTGAAGGTTACTAAGGCCCCACATTCTTCCCAACCTTGGCATTATCAAGCTTTCTTGTTTTCCCCAACATAACAGATGTAAAGTGTCATCTCACTATTGAATTTTTCAGATTACTGATGAGTCTGAGCATGTCTGTATGTGCTTATAAGATTTTCTATCTTTACTATAAATCACCTGTTCATAATGCTTTGCCCCGTATTCTATCGGGATTTTTGTCTTTTTAAAAATGTTTTGTGTATTCTGGTTAGTTAATAAATTAATTCTGCTTAAGACACTATAAACATCTTCTCTCTTTATGTCCTTTTATATACTTTGTCCAGGGTTTTGTTTTGGTTTGGTTTGGGTTTTTGTTTGTTTGTTTGTTTGTTTTTGAGGCAGCGTTTTACGCCTGTCGCCCAGGCTCTGGAGTGTACTAGCACGATCTTGCCCCACAGCAACCTCTGCTTACCTCAGGATATGGTTTGGCTGTGTTCCTACCCAAATCTCCTCTTAAATTATACTGCTGTAATTGCCACGTGTTGTGGAAGAGACCGGATGGGAGATAATATGAGTCATGGGGGCAGTTTTCCCCATACTGTTCTTGTGGTAGTAAATAAGTCTCATGAGATCTGATGGTTTTATCAGGGTTTTCTGCTTTTGCGTCTTTGTTTTCTCTTGCTGCCACCATGCAAGAAGTGCCTTTTGCCTCCCGCCGTGATTCTGAGGCCTCCCGAGTCCTGTGGAACTATAAGTCCAATTAAACCTCCTTTTCTTCTCAGTCTTGGGTATGTCTTTATCAGCATAAAAATGGACTAATACAGGCCAGGTGCGGTGGCTCAAGCCTGTAATCCCAGCACTTTGGGAGGCCAAGGCAGGTGGATCACGAGGTCAAAAGATCGAGACCATCCTGGTCAACATGGTGAAACCCTGTCTCTACTAAAAATACAAAAAATTAGCTGGGCATAGTGGTGCGTTCCTGTAATCCCAGCTAGTCAGGAGGCTGAGGCAGAAGAATTGCCCGAACCCAGGAGGCGGAGGTTGCGGTGAGCCGAGATCGCGCCATTGCACTCCAGCCTGGGTAACAAGAGCAAAACTCAAAAAAAAAAATGGACTAATACATTAAATTGATACCAGTAGAGTGAGTGTTGCTGAAAAGATACCTGAAAATATGGAAGCAACTTTGGAACTGGGTAACAGGGAGAGGTTGGAACAGGGCTCAGAAGAACAGAGGAAAATGTGGGAAAGTTTGGAACTTCCTAGAAACTTATTGAATGCCTTTGACCAAAAGCCTGGTAGCCACATGGACAAGAAGGTCCAGGCTGAAGTGGTCTCAGGTGGAGATGAGGAACTTGTTGGCAACTGGAGCAAAGGTGACTCTTGTTATGTTTTAGCAAAGAGACTGTATTTTGCAGTATTTTGACTCTGCCCTAGAGATTTGTGGAACTTTGAACTTGAAAGAGATGATTTAGGGTGTCTGGCGGAAAAAAAAAGCTAAGCATCAAAGCATTCAAGATGTGGCTTAGGTGCCGTTAAAAGTATTCAGTTTTATAAGGGAAGAATGGAACAAATGTTTGGAAAATTTGCAGCCTGACAATGTGGTAGAAATGAAAAACCCATTTTCTGAGGAGAAATTCAACCTGGCTGTCGAAATTTGCATAAGTAACAGGGAGCCAAATGTTAATTCCCAAGACCATGGAGAAAATGTCTCCAGGCCATGCCAGAGGTCTTTATGGCAGCCTTTCCCATCACAACAGGCTCCAAGGCATAAGAGAAAAGGGTTTCGTGGGCCAGGCCCAGGGTCCCTGTGCTGTGTGCAGCCTGCGGACTTGGTACCCTGTGTCCCAGCTGCTCTAGCCATGGCCGAAAGGGACCAACATAGAGCTCAAGCCACGGCTACAGGGGTTGCAAGTCTCAAGCCTTGACAGCTTCCACATGGTATTGAGCCTGAGTCAAGAATTGGGGTTTGGGAACCTCCATCTAGATTTCAGAAGATGTATGGAAATGCCTGGATGCCCAGACAGAAGTTTGCTACAGGGGCGGGGCGCTCATGGAGAACCTCTGCAGGGGCAGCATAGAAGGGAAATGTGGGGTTGGAGCTCCCACACAGAGTCCCTACTGGGGCACTGCCTAGTGGAGCTACGAGAAGAGGACCGCTGTTCTCCACACCTCAGAATGGTAGTTCCAGCAAAGCTTGCACCATTCACCTGGAAAAGCCAAAGACATTCAATCCCAGCCACTGAGGAGGGAGGCTATAACCTGCAAAGCCACAGGGGCGGAGCTGCCCAAGACCATGGGAACCCACATTTTGCATCAGCGTGACCTGGACGTCAAAGGAGATCATTTTGGAGCTTTAAGATTTGACTATCTCACAGGATTTCGGACTTGCATGGGCCCTGTAACCCCTTTGTTTTGGCCAATTTCTCCCACTTGGAATGGCTGTATTTACCCAGTACCTGTACCCAAATTGTATCCAGGAAGTAACTAGCTTGCTTTTGATTTTACAGGCTCATAGGTGGAAGGGACTTGCCTTGTCTCAATGTGGACTTGGGGGCTAATGCTGAAATGAGTTAAGACTTCAGAGGACTGTTGGGAAGGCATGATTGGTTTTGAAAAGTGAGGACATGAGATTTGGATGGACCAGGGGCAGAATGATATGGTTTGGCTGTGTCCCCACCCAAATCTCATCTTGAATTGTACACCCATAATTCCCACCTGTTGTGGGACAGACCTGGTGGGAGATAATTAGAATCATGGGGGTGGTTCCCCCATATTGTTCTTGTGGTAGTGAATAAATCTCATGAGATCTGATGGTTTTATTAGGGGTTTCCGCCTTTGCACCTTTCTCATTTTCTCTTGCCGCTGCCAGGTAGGAAGTGCCTTTTGCCTCCAGCCATGTGAAACTAACTCCAATTAAACCTCTTTTTCTTCCTAGTCTCAGATGTGTCTTTATCAGCAGTGTGAAAACAGACTAATACACCCCAACTCAAATGATAATCCTGGGTCAACCTTCCAAGTAGCTGGGACTACAAGCATGCACCACAGCACCTGGCTAATTTCTGTATTTTATTTATTTATTTATTTATTTATTTTTGAGACGGAGTTTTGCTCTTGTTACCCAGGCTGGAGTGCAATGGCGCAATCAGCCTCCACCTCCTGGGTTCAAGCAATTCTCCTGCCTCAACCTCCGGAGTAGCTGGGACTACAGGCACGTGCCACCATGCCCAGCTAATTTTTTTGTTGTATTTTTAGTAGAGATGGG